CGCAGTTTTAATTAATTAGAACTTTATTGATTGACATTTTAAATTGATGAGGCAACACTGATTAATTTGATATTATTGACTAATTTAGCTTCAACATTACTTTATTTTACTCAATATAAACCTTCTGCTTACATTTAAAATTGTTCATAAACAAAAGAACTGAATACAACACAACCATGTAAAAAAGTTTAAATATCTCAGTGTGTAAAAAAAAATTGATAATAGTGTAGAAAAAATCTGTGTAAAAAAAAAAAAATAAGAATTGAATCTGTGACGAAGGTTCAGAAGCAGGTCGCCCAAACAGCAGCGCAAGCCGCTAAAAAATTTTAAAAATTGATTTAATGCCAAACCCTAAATCAAATTACTAATTCAAAAAATTAAATTGCTTTATTTTTTTTAGGATTTAAATGACTTTGATGACAGATATCTTGAAGATGAATTGGATAGAACACACTTTTTTTTTTTGGAAGGAGTGCAATTAACTGATATTTTAGAAGTCCGAAAACTTTGTTGTCTTACCAAATCTTACAAGCATTATGTTGTGCTCATGTTTGGTTATACTTAATCGTGGACTTGTATGTTTCACATTTTTTTCATATTATAATGTATTCAAAAGCGACAAAATTCAATATTGGTCTTATTTCCAAGCGATGGTATCAAGAAGATATTCAAGATCAGAATATTCAACAAGATGAAACTGTAGAAATTGTAACAGTTCCAGCAAAATAATAATCATGAACCATTGATCTCCAATTTACATATTTTTAATCAGCTTAAGGCACCAGATACATTCACAATTGAAGTTAGACAACGTGTGCTAAGAAAGGTTAGGTATGCATATTGATTTAGAAAAATCAAGAAAGCATTCAACTTAGCACTTGATTTAGGTTTCGAGAATGAGTTTATAGATATGATTAATGGATTTATTGACCACAAGAAAAGTACCATTAATGAAACTGATGAAATGCAAGTGAATTTGCAAGTTTTTGATCCTGTTGTTAAAAGCGGCGTGGTCATCCATCACAAAAACGTATCAAGTCATCATTTGAAACCAATTCACAAAACACTAAAAATAGTGCGATTAATCCTTCTGATCCAAATTTATTTGTGCGGCAACAACATTTTCAGCAAACTTCGTCAAGAACTCCTCTTCGTGTTCTCAATACTAACAACATTGAAGAAAACAATAATCTATGCTAACTGGTGATTATAATACAGTAAAAATTCAAACTACAGATATAAATAGATCTAAACGGAAATATATATCTACAGTTTGTGGGGAATCAGGTCATAATACTAGAAACAAAGCGAAGTGTATTAAACACCAATGATTTTAATGTACCGCATCATAATGTACGATAACAATGATTTATTTTTTTATTATAAGTAATAAAAATTTCATGTTAAATTTAAAAACTTCGATATTATCACATGACACGGTGACGGTCGCCACCTGTTATAGATATAAAAATTCTTTTTTTAAATAATAAAAAATTTGATGATGCAATTCGAAGAATACTGCAAGGCTGATAATCTATATCATACCTAATTTATTATTATTCACCAAAAACAGTTGATGACTTTTTCAACAAATTAGATTTGAAACTCATGCAAACATGTCAAATAATTTAAATAAACATAAACTTTGATTAGCTTCAAGTAAGATTGAAAAGAGAATTTGACAGAAGGCCTAGAAAAAGTGAAGGTGCAAAAAAAACTATTATTCATCATAATTTGGAGCTTAGGTTGCGTCATTAAAGCATGACACTAATACCAATCCCAAAATTAAGATCGATTTCCAGTAATCTCAATTATTTTCTCAAAATTAGATCAACCTTGAATTTGAATTCAAACTGGAGCAATCCATCGGAATAGTGTGAAATAACATAATTTGAAATAAAAAATGGTATATAAAATATAAAAATCGAAAGTTGGAAAAAGAATCAGTAAAGGTATTGAACTAACGGATTTTATAAGTGAAAATTTTTCTGCAAAATAAAGTAAATTTTGTCATAAAGAAACAAAATAATTTATTAAAGGAAAAGATATTCAGAATTTCATAGCGGAAACTAAACTTTTATACATCTGTTAATCTAGCCATAAAAGGTTTAAAAAATAAGAATAAATTATTGTAAAAAGAAATTTTGTAAGAAAATGAATATAAAAATAAAATTTATATGACCTTAACCAAAGAACACAGCAAGCTTAAAGATGTGGTAGATAAGCTATTAAAATCACGTTACGGATCATATGTTCGTAACTCGATTTTAATAGCAAACCTCCCATGTGTGTCTACTGATCGAACGAGGAATGAATACATGCTGTTGTTGGTCAATATATATATATTTTTTTTCGTATTTCATAGAAATTTGGCACCGATGTTAAATGAGAAGGAAAATGCATTACTGTCATACCACCTTTTTATTATATATTTGGCTTAATGAAATGAATATAATCCTAAACTAATTCGAAAATCTAAAATTTGTCAATGTTTGTATAGTATGGTTTTTTATACTGGAGAGTAGAGGCCAGATTTTTTATAATTCTGTAAGTTCTTTACATACAGAAACCTATGATTTTTATTAAATGGTCACGTTGTTAATTAAAACTTGTCACAAATTAGTTTCAATCTTGTAACTGCATATTTTCTTAACGAAGTCGTAAAAAATTA